GATAGATAGATAGATAGATAGATAGATAGATAGATAGATAGATAGATGGATAGGTAGATGGATAGATAGATAGATAGATAGATAGATAGATAGATAGATAGATAGGTAGGTAGGTAGATACACAAGATAGATAGAGAGATAGGCAGACACACGAGAAAGATAGATACACAAACTAGATAGACACACCAGATAGAGACACCAGATATATATATATATATATATAGATATAGATATACAGATAGATAGACAGACAGACAGACAGATAGACACACGAGATAGAGAGATAGATAGACAGGATAGATAGCAAGATAGTTTGGGTGGCTAGTTCTCAAATAGGTTTCCCTGTTACATTAGGAAGCTATTAATTCTAGTTCTCTGCAGAATTATGTCATCTCTTGCCTCTCATGCTCCTTCTACTTCCCCCATATAAGGTGACTCTGGTATCTTAGGAATCCTACCTTGTCAAGTGCCAATGGTCAGAAATCAATTTGATTCATTCAACTGAAAAGCAAAAAGAACCCCAGGGTTTCCTATATAAATGATGGTGGTTTCTATTTAGCCTTTTTATTAATTAGGCCCTTTCAGTTCTGGAGCTAAAAATATTCAAAATGTTTATTGGAACTAAAACTGTGGGAAATGATTTCAAAGTGTGTTTTCCCCCTTCCAAGCCTCATTTAAAATGGAAAACAGCTGAGTGGTTTTAACAAGACCCAATTTCCAATCACGTTTCAAATTGATATTTTACTTTATTGATTAACAATAAGCAGGCCATTTATTTAGCTCTGAATGCTAGACTGTTGTCCCTTCTTCAAAATGAGAAGCACTTGTAACTTCGCTCTATGCCTTGTCAATTGTTTACACTGACAGAAGATTACTCATAGCAGAGAAGACTACAGAAAGAAGTAGGAGAAAACTCAAGGAGCAGAAATGATGAAAAAATAACATGTGACTGGGAACCTAAAGCTGTCCCCGCTACTGCCCCACCATTGTGGTCTTCCCAGGAGGAAGAGGTCAGACATGTTCCCTGGCAGAAAAGGTGCATGCATGCTAGATCTGAGCAAAGCAGCTGAGACCAACTGTGTTCCAGGGTCAGCAGCTTAAATGCAAGGATTCCAGTTTGCCCAGGTATAAAATTGCCTTGTTATGCTTCAAATTTTCAACTCGCAGCAACTACTTTGTAAGTTGAGAGGGTTAAATCTGAGAGATGCATTTGAAAAATATTACTTATTAAAGCTTTTATTTTTAATACTGCAAATTCCATTTCCATGTAAATGGAAGCAGAGGCAGACAAATTGCTTTCACCATGCCCTTCCTATTTGTGTTTCTATGGAAATGGATTCTTGATTAGGAAGGGAAAGTGAACATCAAAGCATTATAGCTGGCAGGGAGTGACTGAAGGTGTTTCAAGCATTACCGGGAAATAAGATGCAAAGTTCCCCAAATCACAGAAATACACACCTTCCCACACTTGACCTCTCCAGGCCCTTTGACCCTTGGCCTGCCATGCAGCACAGCGAGCCGGAGCAGCTGTGTGTGACCCCGGGCCGTGCACCACAGCATCTTTCTTCATCGGGCTTGGAAAACTCATTTTTCTCTTAGCTCCCAAAGTGTTGATACCTGTCCCAACATACGCACCTGAGATCAATGGAGGCTTTCTGAGATTTCCATAAAAGGCTACAGTTAGAAAGAAAAGTCAATAAGAAACTAAGCAAATAGAGCTGAATTTCAGTGTAATAACTGAGGATGATTTCCATCACCACGTCCCAGCTGCTTCTCAAAGAGCCCCATCTGCATTAAAATACGTTGACTTATCCAGTTCCACTCTGTGAAGAACTGCCACCGAAAACACACCTAAAATTTTCTATTACACAAACTAGAGGTGTCAGCTGCTATCAATTTCCCTGCTGTTTTGCTTTATGAAAGGCTATTTCTGAAAAAATGCTAACGTGGTCTTTCTTATCATAGGACTTGCACATCAGGAGCGACGGAGGAGTACGTTTCACTCCTAGTTTGGGGGAATATCTGGAGCTAGAGGACTGGACCTGATCTGTATCCTGAAAGCAAGCTTGAAAATTCTTGTGCTAAAGTAGGTCCATGTAGTTCTATAGAATATTCATTTGAACCAACATGGTTCAAAAACCCACCAAAGCATTTAGACATGATGTTGCCATTAATCTCTTAGATAAGATGCACACATATGCATTATGGATGAAGAGTGTGTTTTCCTGCTATAGCATACCTGAGACTCCTCATATCCCCAATTCAAACATACTTCTGTTAGTTCCACTCTGGAAAGCTATGGGCTAGCTCTTACGGAACTTAGAATTTCATCTAAATATATTGTGAGTACAGGGCAACGATATTACAGTATTGTTCAATATGATAAATGTCGATCAAGAAATACAGACAGGTGTGTGTGTGTGTGTGTGTGTGTGAGAGAGAGAGAGAGAGAGAGAGAGAGAGAGAGAGAGAGAGAGAGCGAGAGAGAGAGCAGGGAGAGGAGAAAGAAAGGAGGAAAAGCAAGCTGAATGAAAGAAAGGGATCCAAGGTGACAGAAGAAAAGAAGCAGGAAGGAAATGAACAATAAAAAGACGGAAGGTGAGGGTAAAGAAGAGAAGAAAGGTGTGGCATAAGCTAGAGAAATAGAGAAAGAAAAGAAAGGCAAATAAAATCTGGAAAAGAGGAAAAGTGGGGAAGGAAGTTTCCTGGTTGATTTTCTACTGCTGTGAAGAGACACCATGACCAAGACAACTTACAAAAGAATAATTTATTAGATCTTACAGTTCTACAGGGCTAGAGTCTGTGATCACCATGGAGGGAAGCATAACAGGAGGCTGGCAGGCATGGCGCTGGAGCAGTAGCTAAGAGCTCACATCCTTATTGATAAAGTGGATACATTAACCGAGAGTGAAGAAACAGTATTTGGTATCTGAGAGGTGGCGGAAACAAAAGTTTTGAAGCAACAATGCATGTGGTATTGGAAGAATTATGCTTAACTTAAAAAAAATATTGCATGTCACTATATGTCAGGAGTCATCAAGGGATAGAGATGCTAAAAATAACAGGGCTTATCAGCCCTGTAATGTGTGGTGTGTGTGTGTGTTAATGTGTGTGTGTATGTGTGTGTGTGTGTGTGTGTGTGTGTGTGAATTTACAAACAATTGCACAACCGCAGAGAGGGTGACAGCCAGGAAAAGACCTGCCTCATACAAAATCCTTTTTTTTTTTTTTTTTGCCTACTACTCTACGCGGATCTGTGGTGGACGGTGGGAGACTGTGTGTGGATGGTTCTGCAGGCCTCCGGGCGGCGCTGGCTGGTGCGGTGCTGGGCGGGGAATCGAACTCGGGTCCTCGGGCGGAGCGATTGGGCGCTCTGCCCCCTAAGCCATCTCTCTGGCTGGACAAAATCCTTTTTAAAAGTTTTTTTAAATTGATTTTATTGAACTATATATTTTTCTCCATTCTCCTCCCTTCTTCCCCTCTCACCTTCTACCCTCTCCCATAAGAGCATCAGCTGTAAGCCAGGAGGAGAGTCTCAGAATTATGGAATGACTTAAGTATATATCCAGAGAGCCATTCCACCCCCACCCCCCGTCCCCCGCAGCAAAGACATTCTGAGCGTCGGCTGTGTACCGGGCACATTCTGAGTGCAGAGAATCCAGAAAGGATTAGAACAAAATTGCTGGTCCGTTGTGTTTACCGCTCTGCTTGGAGGCATGAACCTGGGAGAGCAGGGCTTAAAAATGAGGTGGGCTAAGTCTCCTACAATAGCCAATTTTATTCAGAACATCAGACAATTTATACACTGATAGATAAAAAGAGTCACCCACATAAAGTGTACAATCACAAGGACAAGTTGTAAGTGGGAAAGCAGGCTTTTCCACAGAGACATTCGAATAACAGCAGCTGAGGTGAACTCAATCCTCTCTGCTGGACCCGTGAGGGGCACGAAAACATTTTCCCAGAACAATTCTGTGGTTTTGAAAAACTGAGGTCACAATGTCTTGTTTTCTTGAAGTTTTCTCAAAAGCACTCAGAATTCTCACAGGACTCCAATCTTGGTCTGTTTCAACACCTCCTCCCTTTTCTGTTTTCTCAATAGCAGGCTATCCAGTGTGGTTTAATTTGAGAAGTTGGAGATAAATCTAAGTATCATTTGATGCACGAGTATCCTATAAGCAACCAAATTAGAATATCAGAACAGTGAGAGTATTGTAGGTAAATACTCTGCCACCAAAAGGAACCCAAACTCTGCCCAGAATTATTAGTTACCTAACGCTATTGATCAGAAAAATCTAGAGACTAGCTTGAAAAGAGACCTACATTATTAGTCGTTTAGTCCCTTGTAGAACATAAACCCATATTTACCTTTCATAGGAATATAGATGTTATAATGTCCTATGCAAATGGGAAGGGTTTCAGAGTCCAAGGCAAAATTCAACTCAGCCCATTCTTCAGATGAATAAGTAAGTCTACTACAGTCCCAAGATCCAGTCAGAAACCCAGAGTCATTAGTGAAGTGGCAGCTCACCTGTGCAGACGGCCTTAACTTGGTCCCAGGCGGGCAGACTTGACTTCTGATGATATGGTCAACATCTTTTGCCCTTTGGCTGGAGGTTTGCTCTCTTCCTGGTAACCTCCATAATCTCCTCAACGTCCACCAGTGGTCTCAATGGGTCAGGGCTGGAAGATGATGTTTCAGTGGATCTGTTTGCAATGACAAATGCATGCCCCTTTCCAAATTTCTTCTGGAGAAGGGAAAATATGGCAAGTTAATGCATCAGCTGACTTCTTTCCTTCTGCAGTAAAACCAGGGAAGTTAGACTGTGTGTGAGTATGCGTTTGTTGATGGGAAACAGTATTTAAGGGCTTATAAATTAATGATACTAGATTAGCTAAAGCAGTCAGTTCCACCTGGTAACCTGAGGAAAAAGAAGTATTACTAAATTGATGAATATCTGAACCATGAATGCCTCCTATATCATAAGTTGAGCCCTCAATGAAGTAAGTATCTGCCCTTGGAATGGGAGAAGCTGGGACTTCTTTGTAATCACAAATCCAGTTCATATGAGAAAATCTAGATAATGATTTCTTATCTTTGCATAGTAATCTAAAAATGAAATTTGAAAATCCATGGAGTTCTGTGACCCTTTTGAAAATTGATTGTTTGTAACGGTAAGATAATACACCAAGGACGAAACCCATGGAATTGTTGACATTGGGTGCTCCCCTGATTTACTGAGTCAGAAGAGTAAAGTAAACACTTAGTGTCTTGGATTTGATGGTGTAAATAAACCCACTCCAGAGCTGTCTCCTCCTCTGCTGTAGTACCTGTAGGAGACCAGTTAGTGGGGGAAAGAAGTAAATTTAAAGGCTGTGAAGGAGCCACATGATACCCAAAGGCCTCTTTTAGTCTGGATTCAAATAACTATAGTTCTCTTGCCTCTCAAGATAATATATGAGGACTATCCAATGCTGTCTTTTCTTCTGGAGTTTTAAATAGATTGCTTAGTGCATTGGAAATACCAAGTGCAGCTCATGAGGCCACGGAGGATTTGGAAAACAAATTCTGTTTCCCCGCTGTAACCTAGCTTGCTGAGGTTGTAAAATTAACTGCTTCATAGGCTCTCCTAAATCCTCACCAGTAAGTGGAAGGAATTCAAGATTAGATTGACTATCAAATTCCCCACCCCGTGCCACAGGGTCGTTTTCAGGTGATGGAGGATCCACATCCAAGGAGGCTCCAGGAAGGGAGCTGAGGGGACGGTCGGTCACTGTCGCTACCACAGTCATCTAGAGTGTTGAAATCTTATTTTTGCCTCTTCTACCAATTTTTACATTTGATCATCTAGTTCATATTCATTCAAGAAATTAGTCATCCCTTCACCATGATTAATATCCTCCTTGTCTTCCTCAAGCATTTTGATAATGATCTGAATTAATGTCCAAGTGACTCAAAATTGAAGGGGGGGAATCTTCCCCTGCCTTTTTGTATTTGTTTTTTCATTGTTCTTTTGAACTAAGTCCCATCCTTCTTCATTTAAATTTCCTTCTTCTGGAACCCAGGGACTATAATCCTAAACAACTCACAAGCAATCTGATAGTTGTGTTCCTCCTCTCTTTGAAACATGGCGCACAAGCTCAACATAATGAAAAGGCTTCCCTGGTTTCTGCCATTCTTCTCACCTCCTGTGAGGGATCCCACTCTTCCATAACCGCCCCCGGGTCCCTGATTTGTGGTACCACTTGTCTACTGCTCTGACGGCAACACGAACCTTGGAGAGCACAGCCTGACGTGAGGTGGACCAAAGTCTCATGCAATAGCCAGCATCAGACATCAGAACAATTCAGAACGCCAGACTATGCATACTCTTAGAGATAAAGAAGAGGCACCTGGATAATGTGTGTAATCACAAAGACAAGCCAGTCCCATGTGGCAAAACCACGCTTTTCCAAGGAGGCATATGGATAACAGCACCCCTGTCTGCTACACCCGGGAGAAGCATGAAAACCCATTCCAGGGACAGGTCACAAGACTCTTGTCTCGTTTTCTTGGCGCTTTCTCACAAGCACTCAGAATTCTCCCAGGACTCCGTTCTTGAACTGTGTTGTGACACGTTAGACCTGCCTTATAAATGTGGGAACTAGGCAGATTTACAGAGTATACCAGAGCTGATAAATTGTATAAAGAAAATTAAGATAAGATAGAGGGCTATGGGAGATGTGTGACGTTCTGAGAGCGTGAACCTGGAAACTGAATTACTGGAACTGACTTTGTCACGCTGGCACTCAAGGTGCACGGGCGCAGTGAGGGGTGGCTGGGCTGAGTGTGGAGAGAGGAACTGAAGTGTGTAGTTTGGGGAAACGCCTGTACTTGTACTGTTTGTTGCCTTGTTTTAGACTATGAGACTAGACTAACACATTAAAGATTATCAAGAATAGAAATAAACATCACAAATAATCATTTAACAACAACAACAACCTAGGACCCCACTATGTCGCATAATTCGTTGCAGTCAGAGATACAATCCAGTATTGTTCCTTGTTCTCAAGAGCTGAGGCGTAGACCCTAAGTGATAAAGGTCC